GGGAGCAAACGGACACGCTCCGGCGCCTTGTGGATGTTCTGCAAGACCGGAGGCAGGAGGACAGAGCCCCGCTGCAGTCTATCTGTAACCGCCCTCACCCGCCACCAAGTCCCACACCACCCTCACCCAAACTCCAAAGAAGGAGGGGCGGCAAGGGCCGTTAAAACTTTCAGTCAACCCCTGCAGACTGCTCTAGCACTAGAAGGCTGACATTCCCCAAAATTTCATAAGTCCTTTCCTACCCACCTCACACAAGCCCCCGTCCAAGTTTCACCCCCCACGTTTCATGTCTGGTTCGCAATAAAATGTTTGTTTCTCTCCATTACTGTTTCAGTCAGGTTCTTTTGAGGGAGAGTCTGTCTGGAGGGGGGGAAGGGGCTTGGTAATTGGGCAGGACAGTGACCTTTAGCAGGGTACAGAGGCGGTGTCAGGTCCAGCATCAGGACACATACACAGTGCAGTCACTGGTTACCCTGGTCAGTCTGGGAGGTGTTTTTCATGTTCTCCATTGAAATAACCAGTCCACCAGTGCGGAGCCTGGCATTCCGGGAGTTTAGAAGCATCATTTGCATCAGAACACTGAACCCGCCCCCCGCCACAGTCTGCGTCCCCGGTTTAAAATATTCCCGCGAAAACAGCAACACAGACAACGGTGTTCATTAACAAAATCGAAATGATTTTATTTTTTGGGAAGGGGAAGGGGGTGAAGGGGGTATGTAACTGGAGAGGATAGTCAAAATGAACTGGGTAAAGAAACGGGGGCAGGTTCAGCTTTTCTGTCCACAAACTGAAAAGTCACTGGTTGCCCTGCTCACTCAGGAACCTAGCTTTCAAAGCCTCCCGGATGCACAGGGCGTGCCGCTGGGATCTTCTAATGGCCCGGCTGTCTGGCTGGACGTAATCAGCAGCCAGGCTATTTGCCTCAACCTCCCACCCCGCCATAAAGGTCTCCCCCTTGCTCTCACACAGATTGTGGAGCACACAGCAAGCTGCAATAACGATGGGGATATTGGTTTCACTGAGATCACAGCGAGTCAGTAAGCTTCTCCATCTCCCTTTGAGACGGCCAAAAGCACACTCCACTACCATTCTGCACTTGCTCAGCCGGTAGTTGAACAGTTCTTTTTCTGTGTCCAGGGCGCCAGTATAGGGCTTCATGAGCCAGGGCATTAGCGGGTAGGCTGGGTCCCCGAGGATGACTGTAGGCATCTCCACATCCCCAAGAGTTATTTTGTGGTCTGGGAAGTAAATACCTTCCTGCAGCCGTCTAAACAGACCAGAGTTCC